TTGTTTGAAATTGTATCTAAAATATTTCACTTTCTATAAGAAAAGTATCATTTTGGCCGAATAATGTTTTTTGAGAATACAAACTTTTCTCAAGCATAAAGTTTCTTTTTAATAATAACGTTTTAAAGGAAATCTTCGAACAGGTTAATGAGATAAATTAATTTGTCATCAAACATGTTCTTAGCTGACGGAAGACTATGGAGTGAAAGTTCTCAATAAACACGATGGAATTTATCCACTATCAAGTCTTAATGAAGAAACATTTACCTCCGGTATATGGAAATTTCTAGATTTTACGTATATGGAAAATATACTTCAAGTGTGGCTGACTGATTCATCCTAAATAAACTCTTCAAATTGAACGTCTCGTGTGATTGTAATGAGAATGTAAAATAATCAACATGACAGGTTCAAAAAGGAAAAATACATTGTTAACCCTTTAACTCCCATGATTTAATTAGTAATTCTCCTTACTGTCTGCCATACAATTTATGTGATGTTAGTTTGGAGAATTCGGAATTGGATCAACCAATAATCCCCTAATTGATATTTTTCTCTATTCTCATTACTTGTCTGCTTGACATCGTACTGATAGTGTAAGAAGAAATTCTGTTCAGGTCACTAGTGGGACTTTAAGGGTTAACTTAAATATTACGTCGCTATTATCATCCAATATGATTAAATATCTAACTAGAATAGATGAAAGGTTTAACTGAAAATGTCGCTGAAGAAATTGAAGCATTGAAATATCGTTCAGGCAAAATAATTTAATTCAATAAAATCAAAATGGCCTTCGAAAACTATGATGTGGATTTTATAAAGAAAGGTGTGGATGTCTCCATTAGAAAGAGACTTTCCATGGAAGAAGCTGAACTTTAATCAGAAGAGACTTGAACTAAAAAACCACAATTCTAAGCTTAAATCGAACCACTCCAATAGGAAGTGAATTGTTAAACCAGGAGGAAGAACAGCTGTGGCTTAGAGAACGTACGAGCTTATTCAACGCTTAAAATTTTTAAATACATGTACAAAAATTTAACAAACACATTCTGACGAATATCTAAAACTCTTTCATCTCAAATGCGTTATCAATAACGTGCTACGAGTATTTCAAGGTAATTATTATGTAAGGGAATTTTACCCAGAGACGGTCACTGTGTTAAGTAATTCATCAGCAAAGACTTTCTGGAAAGCCTCGCAGCAAACATCAGTAGACATATTCTCCATACTGTTCTCATACATTTCTTACGGTGCTGAAAAGGAGAATTTATTAAACAATCATGACCTTTTTTAGTTAGTGATCATTTGTTTCATTCTCGTGACCTTAATGCGTGATTCAGTGGTGAAACTGTAAGGAGAAATTAAATGCTAGTCACTCTTAGTGTTCATAAGCTTAAGTTTCCTTGAAGGTTAAATTTTTTCCGAACGATTTGCTTCCTAGAAAGGGCCTATATGTGCATTTGCAAGCATGGCACAAAAAGCAAAGACAAACAAACCAAAACCGAAAACATTTCACTCAGAGTCATTTTAGAAGAAAAAAAGTTTTAAACCTTCGGAAATTGCGATTTGTCCAGTTAACCTCCAAAAAGCTAATTATAGTTCAACATGTTCATAGGTTATCTTCAATGTTCCATAGAGACTCGTAGCGAATATAGTTTCAGTTAAAAAAAAAAAGGTTTTTTCCAGACAGAGACCTACCTTTAGCTACACATTCACTCTGCACAATCTCAGACAGTCCATGTCTAGGTTTCTTATGAAAACGTTCTAACTCAAAACGGTATTAAGTTATATTTAATGATAGATCGAAAAGTTAGCAATCTACCTCGTGTATGGACTTATTTCACATGGAAATTATGTCTACATTTTGTTCTGCCACAAACTTTCGAGTAACGTCTGGGCGATTTTAAGCTTAACTTTTCAGTTTTTATTATAATACTATTTCCAATTTGGTTGAGAAAGATCCCCTCTCAACTCAAAACATTTTATCCAGTTACGATTTGAAAAAATTTCTACCGAAAGAAAATCGTAATTTAAAATAGTTTTGATTTTGCATTCTTTAAACTTTTGCTACTCTCTGGAATATTCCTGGAACTTAGCAATAAGAGGCAGAAAGGCAAACGCAACACCTTAAAATGTCTATCCATTAAATCATTATTTTACGATGCTTGAATCCATGCTAGAAATCGTTAAAGATTTTGGCCACGTTCTCCAAGTTACATTGTAATGGATTTCTTTGATTTACCAGCAAAACATCAAATTGAAAAACTCACGTTTATCCGAGTTCTTTACTTAACTCTGTTCGTTTCCCATTCTCAGTTTCCATTCCTCTTATCCAATAACAGTTTTCATCTCCGTCCATCCATGCTACAAATGAAATAAGTGACTTGATTATTGAAGAGACAAAACAAATAATCGAAAAAATAAGAAACGAAAAAAGAAAAAAGACAAAGTCGAGTGTTTCTTTTTTTCATTTAATTTTTTCTTTTGTGAGATAAACTGTCTGATATGTTGTAAACTTATACCACCGGTGATTTATGTGACGTCAACTGGATGGATTATTCGAGAAATCAACTATAGGTCAGTGCTTTCAAAAGCATCCTTGGTGGTCTCGTTTGAGATCCTCCGCAAAACTAACCAGGCTAACAACAATCAAATAACAGCAGCTTGTTTATTAAATCAGATGAAGATTGCCGCTTAAGTTATCAAAACGTCACTGTTCTTGTCAACAGTTCGTTTCAAAACTACCCACGTCCCGACCATCACATTAAAATCCCTCGACAAATCCTTGTTCTTGTTCAAAAAGTACATTTTTTAGCTTGAAATGGTGTAAAGGGGGTTCTTCAAGGTTTTAATAATTGTAACTACCCTCAACATTTAGTAACTTTTATCTTGTAGATAACAATGCCATATCAACGAAATAGTGTTGAATAGTTCAAACAATAGTAGCATACAATGAGAACTCTGGCACCTCTCTTTTTGTTGAATTGTCATGAGTTATCTTGAACTACCAGCAATACAAAACATTAAAAAACTCACGTTTATCCAAGATCTTTTATATCACTCTTTGGATTCCTCATTACAGCCTTCCAATCCTCTTTTTCAATCTAAGTTTTCACTTCCTTCTCGCGATTCTGCAGATTCCTACACATTATTTTCAATGATCAGTTTGTTGTCGCACCCCATGAAATGGCAGTTCGTGTTAAGAATAGTCCCTTGGGAAAGGACTAACAGGGAAAGATACATAAAAGTTGTGCTTAACTTTCATTCTCACCAAGACATTAATTAGTAAATTTCGTTACCCACTCCACCTTCTTTTTTTTTCCCCTCTTTTTTTTCTGCTCAAGGAGAGTAGTTTATATGGTTAGTAATAGGACGGACTTCTCACTTTTCACGAATTTCGCGGCGTATTTTCCATGTTTTCATTTTTTCTTGCTCACACCATCGGTCCCTCATTCTTTTCAGGTACAAATTAGATTTTATAGTTCACATGATTCCGTGACTTACTCTCACCAACAAGTTTGCTGTCTGTGTGATTCTTGCCTCTTCCGTCATTAAATTACCGCAGTCCTAAAGGAAACAAACACGAACCAAACAAAGAAATCATTCAGAATGGAGAAAAAAATCCTCCTTCTCTAAGAAAATAGCAATAAAAAGCAAGGTGACCACGCCGCTTATAAGTATTTTAAACGTGGCTCTCATAACATACATAACTTCCATCTCCGAAATCACTCACCACTGAAAACTGAAAAAATTGCAAATAAATGAGTCTAATTAATAATTCGCGTACACAAATAATTTTTTAGTGTATCGCCACGCTATACGAGATGAATGTAATAAGCTGAATTCATCTTTGAAAGGGAGAGATAGTCGACGTTCTCACCAAAAATCTGTAAAAAAAAAACACTCCAGAGGTACAAAGAGACTGACTCGTGTAAGGAACAGTGGCACAAGCTACGTAAAATGCTTGACTGTGAACTAGAGGACAAACCGTACTTTAAGACGAGTTAAATTCTTAACGTAGAAGCTCTCTCTGGAAACTTCCAGAATCGGCATTTGAGATGAACTTTGCTATAAAAGTAAAACTGAGTACAAGAATAAAAAGCAAAGGCTAAGCAAATGACATGGAGAGAGATTTTGACTGGACCTTCGAAGAAGAGAACACTGTAAAACGTATTTCTCTCTCACCTCATTTAAAGCTACTAGTATCCTGCAAAAGCACAACAGTATCTCCAATTTGGGCTTCTGAGTCTGAGGTAAGGAAGCACTCATTTCAAAATACCTTTCGACGCAGTTACAAGCGATGGAAGCAGCAGAGTACGTCGAGTTTCCGTTCGAAGCAGCAAAACACTGTAACTCCATGGACTGCATGTCACATGGACTGCATGTCTCCATGGACTGCATGTCAAAAATGAATGAATAATTAATTTTTGAGGCAACGTTCATCTCGCCCTTTGCTCCCTGCATATATTAATCACTAAAAGTTCTGAGGGTTTCATATTTGCCAATTTGCACAATAGTGTTTCCTAGGAGGAAGAGAAATTGTTTGAATGGATATTTTGCTATAAATAAACATTTGAAATCAGTTTTGTAGTTGGGCTCAAAGTAAAATCGACGATGTCCACAAGGCTCTCTCCTCTCTCTTAGGGTACTGTCAATTTTAATTTTTCGTTCGTTGCCAGTCTCCCTTCGTCAAAAACACGAGAGGAACAACCTAAAAGGGAAGCTTGAGTCCGAGACAACAACGGATGCAGGTGTCCAAAAATTTGAGGAAAGTGTGAAAAAAGTAGCGGAACTGTCCAAAAACGAAATTAAACGAAAGTAGACAAAGTATCCAGATTCGGAAGAGATCATCCGCAAAGGAATATGTTTATCTCGTCAAACAAATAACTTCGAGCTTAACGATGTCATTAAGAAACTTAGACAAGGTCATAACTATACAACGTCATGAAATTAGCTTCGTCTTTTAAGTTAACGAGGTCATTAAGAAGCAAAACAAAATCCTCAAAATTAACGCACCAATTAATCAAAACTATGAAAAAATTTGAGAAAGAAACCAACCATCGGTTATACGTTTTCATAAGAAACAACTCAGTGAAATGCACGACAACGGTGCGCGCATTTGACACGTACTGTCTAATTACCCAGGCATGATGTCTACGCTGTCCAGTTAGTGCTCAAATCGGACTGATGACAACCAATCATGTCCGAGAATTCTGTTATAGTTTTGATTGGTTTGATAATAGCTTCGTTAAATTTTTATGACTTCATTAAGTTGATGACGTCAAATCACTAATTACAATGACTTCATAGTATCATAATGACGCATGACGTATATGCCCTACAACTGAGTTAACTTTTAAGCATTTTCTTTTCTTTTCGTCGAAAAGGACAATTCAGTGATCAAACAAGCAAAGAGGGAGGTTAACCATGACTTTCACGGCAAAAGAGAAAGACAAAGATGACCGGGTGAACAATTTTTTTCTGCCATTTTTGACGTCGGTTGCTCTCTGCCATTTTCAACGTGAAGGAAGGAGGTTTCACGTTAATGAAAACCGTGAGTAAAAAGTGTGTTCTTTTAATGAGTTTGTAAAGCATTAGCTATCGTGTGCTTCGTGGCAAAGCTTCTTTACTTCTTCTAGGAGGTAAAACAAGTGTCTTGTATTGACTTAAGCGGGAAATTATGTGGAAGGATAACATGTTATTTAATGGAAAAGGTTTTAGTAGGATAGTCATAAAAGTAAAATGCATCATAACCCTAATTTAATATATATTTGGTTTATCTTCATAAAATCCAAGGTGTTTATAATCTACCTTTCACTTTCTAGAAGGCAAATAACAAACACTCAATTGTTCTTCAAAAAGAATGTTACAAACTTACTGCCAGCCCGGCGGTCCATTGGTAAACTCGTGGCGATTCGAGAGACTAGTTTCTTAAAAAAAAACCTGTTGTTTGAATCATTTATAACATCTAGTGCCCTTAACCAACATCTACGATGAAAGGTTGAAGTACGAGATATATTTTTTCAAGCGCGAGAAGTCAATTGACAAAAACGAAGATTTTCCTTCCAATAAATGAGAAAAAAAAAATTAATCGCTACTCTAAAATTGAAAAACTCCCACAATAATTGCATGCTGTCCTATAAATTTCACTCATGAAGCTATCCGTAAGTTGTTGTTCAGTAGCCAATCATTCTTCGCCATCCCAGTAATTCTCAGGAACTTCCTCCGGCTTGAACATCCACGCCTGCATGAGATAACGGTGGCGTATTCCAATATTCTCAATCGCTTTCATGTCATCCTCATCTAAGTTTACATGAAGTGCTTCAAGGTTCTCTTTGATGTGGTTTTCAGAGACGGCTTTTGGGAGGACTGGAGTGTTACGCTTGATACCCCAGGCTAAAGCGATCTGTATTCCAAACAAATAAAGATAAGAGCTTTTAAAATCCTAAAAAAGCCCCTCCTCCCCCCCCCCCACAAAAAAAGCTTTAAAAAAGCTAAAAAACCTATACACCCCACACTATAATGCTCTGCTTCATGCCAGCTCTTGTTTTTCTTTGAATTAGAAAATCTCACAAAACCCTTCACGTTATAATATTCACATAAAACATATTCAAAAGGCAAGAGCGATCTAATAAACTGAATTTCTTCGTCGATTTTTCCAGAGAATCAAAAATCAAGCATTTGGTAGAAAACGTGTTAAAAGTGTAAGGAGAAGTTCTATTTTTATCACATTTAAGAGTTTAAGGTTTATGATACTGAATAATTGGGCCAATTATCCACAAGCCACCGCAAAGTAAAATTCTATAGATTATATTTGTGAACATCAGAAGTGGAGGCAAACTCACCAAAGCAGAAGTGGTGCCATGTTTTTCAGCGATTTTCTTCAACACAGGATTTTGCAGTATCACAGGTTCAGAATCTTTGTTGGCAAAAGGACGATCAGGAGAGCCCAGAGGAGAGTACGCCGTCACAACAATGCCTAAAATGCATAAACAATATTCCTAATCATACCAATCTATAAAGTATTTGTAACAGTAGTATACAAATGATACAAAACAGTAAACATAATACATTTATTTAATATTTATACTTTGTGGCAGGCCAAATTCAGGACACTCAGTGCTCTGGAGATTATTGAGATGCGAGCACTCTGATTAGTCATTGATTGCATCATATAACGCTATAATCACCTTTAGCGAGGTGATTATAGTAGGGGAATAGTGGCGGGGGGGAAGGCTAAATTTAAAAATGGCTACCTCGCCTTTTACTGAGGAAGTGACTAAAGTGATAGAAGAAAATACATGTACAATTTGGAAGAGCACAAAAGATGCTACTAAGTTTGGTGAAATACTTTTCCAAAGAAAGATATGAAGTTTTTACTGATTGAATTTAGTTAACCTGTTAAATTCTAGTGGAAACTGGCTTCTTTTCGCAATACAAGTAATCAAAAAAAATTGTAACAGAATGGTTTCAACAACAAAAAAGTTTTCAACAGAATTCAAAAGCACCTAAGCAGTTATACTAAACCAATTATTCACCTCAGGCTTGATAAATATTGTTGAATAATCCACTCAACTTCGTCTTGGGGATAATTCCACAATATTCACTTCAACTTTGGTAAATAACTGTTAACTAAGGCCCAATATTTTATACACTCAAACAATCATCCCTGAAAGCCAAGTGATCACTGAGGAGCCTCCATTCCTATGTGAACAGTGCCAGCACAACACAGGAAGAATGCCACATATTTGTTCACACTTACATGTAAGATAATTTTAAAAAACTTTAATGCCCTTATGTTCTTGTTTGTCTGCTTATGAATTTTCCAAGATATTTCACTATACCAACAGTGCACTATGTTTAAATTGTAATGAGGTTAGAGATCAGGAAATCAGCTTTTCTGTCTTTGAAGTTCAAGAAAAGGTAATCACAAGTCATCAAATAGACTTAATTCATTCAATTATTAACTAACCTTTGTCAGCACTAAACTGCAATAGTTGTGGCTGAGGTAAATATGGATGTAATTCCACTGTTAGACAAATCACAGAAGGGAAAAATCAAATTTTGGGCAAAGTACATAAGATGCATGAAAAATAAGGCAGACACCACCCATCTTGTACAAAAGATTGTATTCTTGAATTCCCAACACATATTGAAAAAAAAAATAGAAAATTACCGTACACTTTCTGTTAAACCTCCAAACTTAATTTTAAAGACAGTTGCAATGATAGTAATTAACTGAACAAACTGAATTTTGCACATCTGACAGAAGAGTCACAAACTTTGAAAAAATGTACATCTATGATTAACAAGCTTGCAAATTGCTTTAATATTGATTATAAGGGGTAGAGGGGGAATTCATTGAAGATAACAATTTAAAGAGAGAGAATGACACTAATTAGAAACAGAGATTTCATTTGCCTTGTATTGAGAAAGTTATATCTGTTATTAGGGATGAATTCTTCCTTGAACAAAAACTGCCCAGCCAAACCTCCATCATACAAATGAGAAAATAAATGTAATTTAATCTTAAAAAACAGGCAAATAAAAAAATATCAAACACCAGCATACCTTGATTACAAGCTGGAACTATTCTGGCAGTTTCCAAAAGAGTTTGTGTCTTCTTAATTGTAAAATTTGAGATGCCAATAGCTTTACAGAGACCTTTGTCCACCAGCTGCTCCATTGCCTTTTAAGTGGTAGAAAGGAAAAACATTTATTACATTATATTACTGGCCAAAGCATGTTATTTCCATCAAATTCCACAAGGCTACAACTTTGTACACCTCCTCCTTCAAAGGTTATAAAGGCTCTACCATCTGAATATAAAATGGACCAGTCCTGAGAACTGACAATACTGGTTCTGACCAAAGTGGCTGTGCTCTGTAACCCTTTACACCCTGACATCAGAATACATATTCTCCATACTGTTCTTTATACATTTCCTCTGGAACTTATGAGGAGAATTTTATCAACAGTCCAGAGCTCCAATGCATAGTTGGTTTTATACTTATGACCTTGCTGTTTGATTTAGCAGTTACACTGGACAGAGAAATTAGCTGCTACTCACTCTTGGGGTTAAAGGCTAAACCTTTAACTCCCAAGAGTGACCAAGACATAATTTCTCCTCACAATATTAATAAAATATCAACCAGATAAACAATAAGAATAGAGAAAATTAAATATCAATTTGGAGATGATTAGTTGATCCAATACTAAATTCTCTGAACAAACATCATAAGAATTGTGTGGTTGACAGTAACAAGAATTACAAATTTGATTGGGGAGTTAAAGGTTTAATATCAACTCCTGCTTGGGTTTTTTGCAGAATTGCCTGGAGTATAGGGTACCAGATAGTTGTGGTGTTGTAATATTGTCACTTAGATCCTTACTGTGTTTAAATCCTATAATGCTGTTGTGTGATTAAAGAGAAGAAAGTTGTGCTTTAACAAGAGAATCTTCCAGAGACATGTCCTTCTTATACGATGTAAGAGAAAGCTCAATGTTGCACACACACATATGCACTCACAAATAAAGGATATCACTCCTATTACAGTGTAGGTGGGATCATATAGTTTATATTTTCAGTTCAGCCAAACTTGGTCAAATCAAAGCATTGTTAGTAATGATACCAACACACTTAATATACTATTATGAGTAGCCTTACCCGCCAAGTCTTGGCCATGCCTTCAGGTGAGTAACCTATCACCCCTTCTGCCTTGGAGTGAGGAAAAGGGACATCTTTTTTGAAAGCAAGGGGGATGTGGATCTATTGAAAAATTGTTGAAATTAACACTGGAATATTAAATGGAGTGCCTCTTCAGAAATGCTCAAGAGCTTGTTCCACTGGGTTAGGGATTGATTTAATAAAATCTTACAAGTTTGAGACCAGACTAACATTTCATATTGAGATAAATAAAGATAGATACATGTAGATCTCTACTGAGTCTGGTATAAATTAGCATTTAGAAGGAAAATCCCTCATAGCATTATACATGAAGATTTTCAAAAAACTTTACCAAGAAAAATGACAGGGGGGAAAGCATAGTCTGGATAAGTTTTATACTTACAAGATACAAATCCAAATACTTCAACTGCAGATTTTTCAGCGTTATCTCACATGCTGGTAAAACATCCTCAGGTGCCTGACTATTGCACCTAATTTTTAAACAAAATAATCAAGATAAAACCGCAGTACAAACCAGTAAAAGTCATAATACTATTTCTTGGAAGTTATTCCTTCAAATCAAGCATTTAATCTAATGAACTGTGTCACACCATGTCTACAATAATGAAATCTTACCCATGGGTTATTTGTGAAAGCTTTAAGAAGCATAAACAACACTCTAAGATAACTAATATCCATGACAAAAATCAAAACCATCAAATTCATGCAACATTACCATATGCCTTGCCAAACATTACAGCTACTTACAGCGCATAACAGAAATAAACATCAGAGCCCAGTTGTTCAAAGGATGGATAACTCTACCTAACTGATAAATTGTTTAATCCAGCAGATAAGTGTTTACAAAACATACTGCACTATCCACCAGATAAAAATTTATTCAGCTGATAGTGATATCCACCCATTGAACAAATAGTGAAAGTTTAGAAACTTATTATTTACCAGAGCTTTGATGTAATGAAGATATCTTCACGTTTCACTTTTCCTTCTTTAAACACCTCAGTAAGACTCTCCCCTATTTCATCTTCATTTTGATAAACATGTGCACAATCAATATGTCGGTACCCATACTGCAAAGCAAGCTTGACTGCCTGTCCTACTTCACCTTTCTTGGATTTCCATGTTCTGTAGGAGTACCCAGTAAAACCAATCATACAAAAACCTCACATTAAGTTAACATTTAACATACTCAATATTAATTTGTTGCAATAAGAAAGAGATAATTTGAAAAATCAAAAAAAAAATAGTGAAAACCCTACCATGCTCCATTACCGAGAGAGGTGCTAGTTTGAGCCCCTCCCATTGCAAAAACTAATAGAGCCTACAGGAAGGCAACTTCATTCAAATTGAAAACGAAGAAATCAACAGTATTTCCTGCTTGCCTTGTCTCTAATAGCTTCCCTCCAACTTCAAAACTTACAAAACCCTGTTAACCCTTTAACTCCCAGAAGTGATTAACATAAAACTTCTCCCTACAGTATTCACACATTCTTCAGCAAACAGGTAATGAGAATATTCAAACTTATCAGGTAGAAGCTGCTATCTTAATCTAATCCCAAGTTCTCATAACTATTACAAGGAAATGTGTAGCAGCTAGAGGGGAGAGTTGACAATCAGATCTTGGGAGTTAAAGGGTTAAGCTTGTAGTTAGAGCATTACAGCTCATCACCAAAAGTAGCAAAGTTGAGGTAGCTTACCACTAAGCAGACAAACCCTTTCATACTTGGACAATATTTATTTGGCAGAAACTACCCTCAGTAAGCCCTTATTTTCTGCATGATGAATATGCATGCTTTAATCTCATAAATTTAATTATTAGGTTCCATGATTGTAAGCTTAAACCATACTTAATTTACATTTAAGTGGTAACTCAACACCTGGAGTTTCTGACCAGTCAAGTTGAAATAGGTGAGCTACAGGGCAAGAAACAAGAAAGCCATGCCAAAATTAAATTCCAGCTGAAGAATGACACAAGAAAGTTACCTATGACCAAAAAAGGACTTGAATAAGTCTAAAAAACAGTTAAAGCTAAGCATATTCTGTTTATAACAGGCTGAACCTGGAAATATGCATGCAACAAGGACAATTTCAGTGGAACCATTAAGGCTTAAAATAAAATCAACAAATAGTGACTGTGTTTTGTGCCTTTCCTTATTTCAAAAGGGTTTTTAAACTTCAAAATTACAGAAAAAAATTTCTCTATAGCTGTTAGACAAGTCTGAGAACCTATGCATGCTCTTTTTGGTTGATACATGTGTTAATCAAGACAGGAGTATGTAACATGGTTGTGAAATTTCAGATACCTGCATATTTTTTTCAACAATTTTTTTGATGAAATAATTTGAATCATGTCATTTTTCCTTTAACTTATTTGTTGCACTCAGTGCACTGAGACACAAATCCCATCTGTAAGTAAACTTACCCCAAAGCAATTGAGGGCATTAATGCTCCATTATTCAATTTCACTGCTGCTGATGCCTGGAAAGAGACATTGTTCATTGCAATTATTAATACTGGTGAAATCCACTGAGGAACATTGGCCAGGGAAGGGGGAGGAGGGGCAGAAAGGGGGGTTCTGAAAACCACAAAGCAAAAAAGATTTAGAAAATACCATAATATTGCAAAATAATGGGCAAATACAGCAATACTTCAATACTGAATGGAACTTGATGTCCTATGAAAACCACTGCTCTGTAAGTTACATTTAGAGCAAAAAACACAGAAATAACAGTTAAGGATTGGTCAATGAAAAGTAAGTCACAAACAGGTAAATTTTATTAGAAAAAAAAAAACTGTATGAGTTCCTATTACAGCCTGTTTCCAAAACAATCAGAAACTGGCAAAGGCTTTTAAAAAAGTGAAGGACCTGGGGGATGATTTTTAATACTGTTCAAAATGCTAAAAAACTGCATCCAGCAGGTTTGAAAAATACTGCAATATCGCAATTCACAATAAAAATTACCAAAATATTGCCAGGAAAATTGACCAATACAGCAAATCAAAACCCCAAAGCTCCCTCCAGTCTAATTTGAATAATCTTGAATGCTCAGTTACTTATTCAAAGTTACTTAGCACATTTTTCTACATGCTTCAACAGTTTTTAACAACCATCCTGCAATTTACTCTTCCTTTTTATTTCTGCTATTAATCATGTCAGTGAGTCCTCAAAAAAGCTTAAGAGTTATCTTCTGAAGAGCTATTTTTCAGTGTTGAGTTATACCTTAACCCTTAAACTCTTGTGAGTGACCAAGACAGAATTTCTCCTTACAATATCAATCCAATATTAACCAGATAAGTGATGAGAATAAAGAAAAATATCAAATTGGGGATAATTAGTTGATCCAATACTAGATTCTCTGAACTACAATCCTAAGAATTGCATGGTTGACAGTGAGGAGAATTAAAAATTTGATCTGGGAGTTAAAGGGTTAAGGTCAGGAGAATAAAGGAAATGATCACCAACTTAAGAAGCATTTGGAGAATGGCATGGTGATGTCAGAGTGTAAGGGTTGAGTCAGTGCCCCTCTCACCCCACCCCTTACCCCGTTACATTTCTCTTCTCTTAGAACGTGCGTTGCGTGACATACTACAATGCAACGCGGTGTCTTTCAGCACCTACATTTTTTTAATAAACGTCTAAAATTTTCAGTCGCGTCAAAATTTAATGAGAAATCCCCATTTTGGTCTGTATGCGATAACATTTAATCAAGTTAAGCATGGAAGGGCAAGCAAAGTCACATAGGCTTTCAGTACAGCTTAATTACTAAAAATGATGCAATGCAAGTCTGAGTCATGCTGCATCATCCCAAAATGCGAAGTGAAATTAGAGAATAGTTAACTTCCCAATGAAGATCGACCGAAACGTGAAGTACCGACGAACGTGATCTACCTCCAGGTATCATTCCATTATTCTTCACTGAACGTTCCCATTTAATTTTAACTCAACTTTATCTTCCGCGATCGACCTCGGGGATTAAGTAGGGACCCAGATCACATGGAGAGAAGATACATGAGGTGTGTCACACAAGGAAAAAAAAGTATAGTACTCACCATACTAAGACAAATTTCACGAAATTACCATCGGCGACAAATAATAGAAATTAGATATAAGCAGTCTCAAGGGAAGATGTTACATGCACAGCTCGCCGACGCGAGATCAGCTGAGTGTCACTGCACCTCTGCAATTAGCGATCACTTTCGCAAGGCACTATGGACTTTCCTACAGTCGGCCGGCAATCGGGCCATCTTCGTGATCTCATCGGAACATGTCAGCCTCATTCCTTCCACGAACAGATAGTCATCGGCCCGTCTCGTTAAACGATATGCGATGATGCGAGTTGGAAGGAAAGATCCAGATTTCCCGACTAAGCTTGAAATATTGTTATACTTTGTCAATTCTTGTAATGGCCTCTAATATGGAATTCAAATTCTTTAACGTTTTCCTCCCCATTCCCTCTCCAAAACGAACATGAGACAATCCCTTCTACTTAAAGAATAATTCTTTTTTTGTTTTTGTTTTTTGTTAACTACCAGGTTTTTTCCAGACCCCGTTACAGTAAGCTCTCGTGTGATCCTCGAAAAAGAAAACTGTTGTGGAGCCACTGACATACCGTGAAAAGTGCTCCTATAACCAGTGAGAGTGTGATAGACACATTTGGAAGCGGGCAGAAACGCAAAGTCTTGTGTGAGCGCACCTAACCTGGTTTAAAAATGTACTTTTTCATGTTCTTCTAATCCCCCCCCCCTCCCCGGTTGATTCAAATCATTCACGCACACGATAGAAAAGTAGAATACTTTAATTGGAAAAAAGACTAAATTTAATACTAAATCTTTTTATAAGGAGCAGAATCTTCGTCTATCCTTCGAAGAAATTCCAGAAGAGGAAGGAGTCTTTCCCAAGTTTTTCTGGAAGAATTAGAGGAGAATATGCTCGCGCGCAGAATATGAATCTGCAAACTGACTAGGAAATATATAATGAACAATATATCTTTAGCAGAAGCATAAAATGAAAAATTAATCTTTAACAGAAGCATTTGCTTCTAGTATTTACTATAGATTTTCAATCACAACAGCGTTCAACCTGTGCGCATCTGTTATAAAATATCCACAATGGTTCAAATTTACCATAACATGTAAACTTAAAATTAACTGTAAAATTATGTTAGACAAAAAACAGATGGAACTCATCGCGTATCAACTTTGACGTAGAGATAGCTCACCAGTGTAAATAGTTGTCTCTTTCTCTAACAAGTGTCTATGTTTCATGCTTACTTCGCTAGATACCCAGATCTCTCTCATATCTGCATCTCCGAAGGCTTCCCTATCGGTCTATGATGATTCTTCAAATACTCAACCGTATTTTAACCCGGAATGATAGACCAACAGGATATTAGCATTTTTCCTGTGTAGCTTATCATGTACAAGAAAAACCTGAATGGTGCACTAGGGTAAGTAATTCGTCGTCAGATTAAGTCTCAATATCAAATTGCTGTATCAAGAGAGTTGGGTCTAAATTTTCCCGTTGGCCTGAGACGTTTCTGTAAGAGTCAAACAAATTTGGCCAATTAACCCGCGCCTTTTTAGTGATTTTCTTCCCTTACAAACAATTATTTTCAAGTTTCGTCGTATTTTAAGACCTATCCTTCGTTACAAATTCGACTTGAGGACTGCGACGTTGCTCAGAAGTCTCTTGGTCCACAAGAAGCGCCAGCGCCTAAACCCACGGCTGCCAGCCCGGAAACAGACGACATAAATTCTTAGGATCCATGGCTTCCCTTATCAGGTGATTAACTTGCCCTGATACACTCAAGTGCACCCCATCTTCGACACCATCCAGTTTCTGCTTGAGTCGTAACAGCACTCTCTTTGCCATTTTGTTCACATTATCCTCGGCGGCGATGTTCTCTATGCCCATTGTTGCGTCCAAGCAGTCACCCGTGACACTGACTGGGAACTGGTCGTCTTCCTCTGCCTTTTGCTGAAGGGCTTTTCTCTTTTCAGGGCTGAGCGTCCATGATGATAACGGGTCGTAAAGCAAAACCTGGCGAGAGAGAAATTGACGATTTCAAACGCTGTGTAAGTGTCAAATTATCAAGTAACTACCATTCTACGACCTCAATGACAATACTGATAATTATTTGACAATCAACGCCAAATTTCGGGATTTGTCAGCTAAAAGACAACTCCCAAATCACTATCTTTTTCGATAACCAAGTTCACTAAATATTCTAACGTCTGATTACTGAGTTTGCTGGTTAGAATATTTCCAGGAGTCGCTCTCTAACAGGTTAGGGAGGCGATTTGCCATTCGCTACAGAATAGCGAGGACCCAACCTTGCAGGTTGAGGTCATTGTAAGGAGAATAACTGAACCCCGATGACTTTTTTCTGCTCTTCTCAAAGAGAATACAAAAGTGCAGGCGCGCATGCGTGCGAGCAAGGAGAAGGGAGAGGCCCTTTTGTGTCAAATGCCAAGCGCTAACCGGAGTAGGTCGTCTTTGTTCGCTGAAAGACCTTTTAATACTTTCACCCTCTTTCTGATCTAAAACATGGGAATGCATACATGAAACACTTCTCTTATTAGCACAGCGCACCTCTACAACTGTCATAAGAGACTCTTGTGACGTTCTCATAACTTCCATTGTCTTTTCACAACAACGACGGTACACTCCCTCCACCCCTGTCAGTCCCATCCCATCCACCATGTCACGTGTCAAGCGAAACGGTACAGTCTCTGGGGTTGGGAGAAATTTGCCTTGCTCGAAGGCCACACCTGCGAGAAAACGATAACCATGACGAAACATCATGAGTACAACTGCTTCAATAAATCAAATTAATTCTAAAGTAACGAAACTTCGCCAGGCAAACAAACTCTGAAGAAATGCGCAAGCGTTACAGTGAACCAGAGTCCCTTGGAAACGTAACCATTTATATGAACGAAAATAGCGAAAAGACGCAACTCTTTTTTTCGAAAAATCTGACTTCCATATGCTCTGTTTTTCACAGTGCCACTTCTGTTACCGGGATCACTTTAATAAAATTAACCAATTATGATGTGTAAAACTGACCTAACCTCAACTAAATTCAATTGTGCCCACATGTGCTAAGGACAAAAGAAAGCAAAGACACTTAAGATCCAAATGCAATTTACTGTTGGATCAGTCTTGTAATCACATTGATCGGTTTTGTGGAAGTGACCTCAATAAAAAAAAAGTCGCACAGTAAACTTTTAATAATTACAAAAAATTGTCACTGCAAGGAGAGAATTAGTCTACGGTCAAAATAATGATACATGCACCAGAAAGGTTACGTTTTCTTAAACACCAATATGTGTGTACGTAATTTAATTTCACGCATACTTTCTTTAATTTATTCTACTAATTTGAGGCTGGATCTAGAATAGTTGTAGATTTGGCAAGGAGCAGGTGGGGGAAGACTTGTTGTTTCCTGGTGTTAGCATAGATGACACAGTTGTTGTCTTACCAAGATCGATGTGGACGAGTTCTGCTGTGTTGCAGTCGACGAGAATATTCTGTACGTGACGGTCACCTAGCCCGACCACGTAACCAACTGGAGGGAAAAAAAAAAGGAAGGAACATTTCAAGGACGTAGTTGTGTGTATATGCTAAGCTATGGGGAGGTGATGTACTTCACCTTAATCTGACAAAGTCATGTCTAAAAACAATAATCTTTCGTTTCACCTTAGTTTGGGAGACCTAACGCATTGATCATTTGGGGAAGTCAAATTATTACATGGCTAGGGAGAAAGTACATCAAAACCACTCGATCTTCTGATGAAGGCTGACAGTGGGCAGTTGAATGATATTACTTTAAAGGTTACCACCACAGTGGTACTATTTCGTTTCTTCGACTTCTCAACATCCATAGGACAAGTTAAGGTTTTGATAGTTTCCATCGTATCAGAGCGCTCTATCTCTTCGTGGTTAAAGGCAAAGTCATATAAATTACCACAACAGGCTCATACTTGAGATTATGCCTCTTACCACCCAAGGATTAATCCTAAGATTTTTTGTTACGTGTTTTTCTGTTCCAAGAAAACGCGCTTCTCTGTTTACAAAGTGCCGCGCAAGTAATATGTTTTACCAATGGATGACGTAGCCACTCCGCGAGTGTAGCTCAGTCTTCTCTCAAACCAAACAGCGGGGTCTGGGAACCACTCCAGAAAGAAGTGACGGAATACTGGATGAAAATGATCCATCAGTTCCTGTGGGATAAAACAACTGATTGAAAGCTGACCGAGCTAAAATATGAACGCGGTTGCGCAAGCGCAATTTCTATCCGCTTTCTAGCGTAGCCGTAGTTTCACCTGTTCAGCTTTACTTCAGCAAAGAAATGCTGTCCCTCTCTTCTTGTCAGAAAAACAAATTCCTTCAGTGGAGTTTTATCTTATACCCTTTACAATCTCCTTTTCAAGTGTTCTGTTTGAGTCATCTACACTGGCAGGCAAATGTCGAAAGTACTTTAAGAGTGTCCTTAAACTAAGGTCAGTTTTTGAACAATAGGATTTCTAAAGAAAAAACTGTCATATTGTTTCGTCTCCTTTGCTTAAGGAGATTTGTCGACGAAAACGTTTAGAGCAATCCCTGTCTCTATAAGTGTGGAATAACGTTCCAACTCTACACCAAATCATAAATTTACCATTCCTGTCAAAAGTCAAGAGGTGGTTTTGTTTCTATAGTCAATGCAAAAATGGAGATTACCTGGTAAACTTCATCTCGTGATTTTCCACTGTTGTCTCCAGCCTAAAAGAATGACAATAACAGGCATTAAAGTTACCTTCTTTATTTTATCACAAGCATGAACCTACCCGTTACTGCGGTTTAAAAATTAGTCTGAGCTACATGGACAATCGGTTATGTTTGCCGCTTTACCTGGACTTTTTTTCTACACTCAAGAGATGTCCAGTCCCCGGGATAGTACCGCGGGTGAGCACCAGTCTTGGTTCCAGGCCGCCCAATCAAATATTCTCCCAGGGGGACTGTGTCCTCGCACCATTCCACTATTCCACTGCGCTGCGATAGTGGGATAACCTGATGAGGGAACGAGACCTTAGAAAAGCAATATTTTAAAAATGATTGAAGAGAAATAATGTGGTACACGTGCTACTGGAAGGAGGTGAGCAAGTTTTTCAAAAACAAAGAATTGAATGGTGTGTTTCTACCGCTATGTTGTGCAGCGGAGGTTGTTTGCTATGCACTGCCTGGGTTAGGGCCATCCAAACAAGGCTCAACATGCGATAGTCTTGACCGGAATAGGAAATCACGGATCAAAATGTCCTACAAAAGGTGGTCTATTCAGCTGTCAAAAATGAAATCAGAGAGGGAGTCAGGACGTTTTCTGAATCGCTTCTTACCAGTACTCATAACGAATGGAAAGATGACTGGGCCCTAGATATTTAACAGAACATATGGAATGTTCACACAATTCCAAGAAATGGTGAGGACCTTGAGTGACTTACCTTATAAGTTCTCATCTTCAATTTCCGTTTCCTTGTCTCAGAGTTCTTTATCAGTAGTTGATTGACCATACCAAACACCTGTTCCATGACAGCATCTTGACGTAAGTCATCTCTGCCCTACACTCCAAAAAAACAAAAACGAAAATACAAAACAAAAGAAAAAAACTTAAGTGTGGCTCCAATACACCTTAACTCAAGTTTGCACCTTTAGGCCGGAGTGACTTCATAAGATAAACAAAAGAAAAAAAATTGTATTACGGCTCTGTTTTGCGTACAGATCCCACCAGATAGCTAAGTTAAGCATATCACAATTTATAGCTTACCACGTATTTTACGCGCTTGTTACTTGTAATTTGTTTTTTGTTAAACATATAAGTGTTGTAACCTTTTGCTGTGATTGGCTGACATGCTACCATCCCAGAATCTTACCCATCATACCTTCACCAGCTGCCTCCTCTTCACTCCATCAGATCCAACACAAAAGATGATCTTGGGAAGATTGACTCCTCCAGCCAGACAGAACTTAGAGTCAAATCCAGCCACATAAACAAGGTCATCATAACGGCACAGCGGATCCACCTGGAAAGCAAAGGAGGCATAGCGAAGAAAACATCTTCCATAACCCTTAACACCCTAATATTAGTAAGCAGATTCTCCATACTGTCCTATATACATTTCTAAGGGCGCTGACAAGGAGAAGTTGTTTAACAATTAAGAGTCTCTTAACCTTTTACCTCCCATGAGTGACTAAGAGAGAATTTCTCCTTACAATATCAATATAATATCAAGGATAGAAGTGATGAGAATCACATGATTGACATTATAAGAATTGTATGGCAAACAGTAAGGAGAATTACTAATAAGATTTTGGGAGTTAAAGGGTTAAGTTGGTGATTATTTCCTTTATTCTCATGACCTTAAATGTTTGATTTATGTGTGATACTGTGGGGAGAAATTAGATGCTAGTCACTCCTAGGTGTTAAAGGGTTAAGTTGGTGATCATTTCCTTTATTCTCATGACCTTAATGTTTGATTTATGGGTGATACTGTGGGGAGAAATTAGATGCTGGTCACTCCTAGGTGTTAAAGGGTTAACGTATCCTTCAGTTTCACGAGGTCATGACGTTGATGACATTGATGGCGACGGTTACGAGGCCGACGATAACAGTGATGATGACAATGGTAATGATGATGATGACAAAGTATAAAAAAATCACAGTCGTCAAGAGTTGACAATTTTATTCCTACTTTTACTTCCATAGTGGGAACTGGAACTTCTTTGAGGTTTACGATTCTTTTTATCGTGACTTCTGGTAGGTTAAAGGGACCTAAAAGGCATCAATGAAAAAAACTTGTAAAAGTTGCAAGAGCTGCCCAGCAATGCTAAGAAATCACTCAAAGTAAACTCTCTCATGCATTATCAATTCTTCATTTTAAATTTACATATGTTTTGGAATCGGACGCCAAAAAAAAAAGGTTTTAACCTGGTTTACCTCTATTGGATGGCAGTTCTTTCCTGCGGCTTTAGTTTTCTTCCAGAGATTTGATTCATACTTAATTGGAGTTAGCCGTTTGGAAAAAAGATTAAAATAAAAAGGAAGCATTTGCCATAGAGCGGGGCTTGAGAGAAGTATGTAGTTACCGTCATAGTTATTCAATTGAATTTCACACGGAACAAATACATAATGTGGAGAGCAATTGGCTGCTCAATACGCGCGGGTCTTAAAGTACCTCTCTCATTCTTCAACTGCATGACATTCACGTAAGCCAGTTCAATGTAAGCTTCACACAACAATTGCATATTTTTGACAAGGTCTCCTCTGTGTTTACCAATCTTCTCTATCAAAGTACAAGCTGTTTGAGTACGAGCCTAAAGAAAAGAAGCCGTGAATACAATAAAATTGAAACAACATCCCACAAATAGCAATCATTTGGAGCTTTATTTGACACACTAACGCCAACCAAAAGCTATGGGGTGTTTTCCCTCGCGTGGATCAAATCTTTTGTCTCTACCATCCGTTTATAAGTGCTAAAACAAGAGCATTCCTCAAGATGCTATAGAATGAACACAAATAACTCACTTCGGTGAAGCCTTTCGTTCCTTTAGAATGATTCCTGGCCAGCCTAGAAGTCCCGTTCCTCTTTCCTGTATTTATGTACTTCTCATCTTTCTCAGCGTTTGCGAGCGCGAGCAAGATGAACAGGGTGTGGTGCGGGTGATCCACTGCCGCTCGCTCAATGAGCTGAAGAAAAAAAATAAAACATCGTTTAATCGTTTAAACTAATGACGTGTTTGACTTAAGATTCTGTTAACGAGGTACAAAAGCTAGACATACCTCGTTAAGAGTGCGCTGGAACAATCGGTTGTCATGTGACTTTGTCCCTAGCCTGGCTGCCAATTGGTACATCAAAGGGAGAAACTTGCGGGACTGAATCTTTGTCAGCTCTTTCTAAAACAGAACAAAGATTATCCCTGTTCAAACGGGGATCAAAGGCATGAACTCATTACTTTCTGGCAATCAGGTGCAAAAGTGTGATTCGAATCTACTCTGATTGGACGGATTCTTCACACTGATTACCCAACGTTTGCATGCAGGCAAAAAAATATCTAATAGATACTTAGGGGGCAGGTATTTTAAGCAAAGTTTAGCCGTTATTTGACAAACGGCGTTCTTAACTATCTCCAATTTAACCGAACCTTTTATTTGAACAAGTATTTTTGTGAACAGTGTCAAGAGAGCTCAAGCAGACCGTGGAAATAACATTTATTTCATTAAATCAACCCTTTTACAGAATATACCTGAGGCCCACTGCTCGCGTGAAACCGCGGTTTGGGTATGACCTCGTGTAAATGACCGATCCTTAGAGATGTCGCTGACCCTAAGATCGGGTTAGTCCAAAAAAGCGATACCCAGGTCCATATTTCAACAGCCATTTCTTCATTTGTGTCTCGCCAAAGAACAAATGGTGCATGTAACACAGGAAAGAGGATTTACCGCTCCGACGTACTAAACACACGGCCACTGTACGTAAGTTACTACACGATTGTAATTTTTGCCAGATTCGAATGGCATAAAAATAATTTTTTTGTTGTGTTATGCTTGTTGACATACCTTGATCATTTCGGAGACGAACTCTTCCTTAGCATTGTCAAACCACAGTGAACATAGTCTAAACACTCTCATATCATACTTGTCCTTCAAAACAGGAGAAAAATCAAATTAAAGTATCAAAATATAGGATAATAAAAGGACTACAACTTCGGTGCATGCATGAGGTTGGATCTTAAACCTGCATTTTCCTTGGATTGTTTTCTGAGACGCTGCAGGTATTCAAAAGACGAAGGAAAGGATTACAACCTAACACGCAACTGTTAAGAGACTCTTCAGTCTGTTTTTAACCTACCCCCGTTAGTAATGTTTTGATGTAGTTTTCCACAGCCGTCCGGAGGAACACGTGCCTGTCCCTAACCACCTGCTGTAGTTCCTTCTCATCCATCTGAGCCTGCAAGTTCAGTGTTCTTGTATACCTGTCTCTACCAGAGTCAGGTATACGCTGTAACTTTTCCGACTCCACCTTTCAGCAAAAGATGACATGCATTCTAATTAAGAGGGTAATTTAGCACTATCAACTGAGTTGATAACGTAAATTGGCCACCGTAAGGAGTTTAAAAGCTGACGTTTCACCACAGTTTCTTCAGAAACTTACCCCCTTTATTCATTTGCTTTAATTAACACCTTGGCCGGAAAACTGGATATTTTTATTGCAAGATAATTGCGGTTAGGTAAGGCCCTGTTGAAGCCAGTAAAACTTGAAATATATCCCATTCCAAAGTTACGACTTCAAATTAATTTTGAGTTATCTATGAGTTAACCGTTCGAATTCTGGTAACAATTGAGCCTAAATGTATGTCCTTTTTGCTCTTTTTTTCAGTTATAGGCTTCAATCACTCACCAGAAAACGAATCCAATCATTCATAGTTGCCCTGGTTCAACCTCCAGAACGCTTAACCATTAATAGGAAACTGTCCCTTGCGACCCAAGAAATAATAGTCGATCGAGTGATGTTATGGTGACTTGGATGCTATGGATGAGGTTTGTTCCCAAAAAGTTGCCGCTGACAATGTCTGCTTTTCATATCGTTGTGTACACGTCACTCATTTCCGCCAAAAACTACACACCACAGTGCGTGACCAAAACACCAAGCAAAACCATGTTGGAGTGGAAAATACAGACTCTATGATATTCATGGCACTTACGAACAGTTTCTGTTGTAAGAAAGTGGTTCTTGTTTTGTGAAATTTTTTGCGTTTCAGTAAATTGAATTTTGTTTTGGGGATTTTTGTTTTGTTTTGAGGAATTAATTTTTGTTTTGGTAAATTGATTGGGTTTGACAACTTTTAGGCCATTGCAGGACCACAGACCTATCCAGGATTACCCCGACACCGACTTTCACCCTAAGCGGGCGACTTTTAGGCAAAATTTCTTATGTATTTATTAGTCTTTTTTTTTCTAACCTTTGACTTCTTCATCAGCGCTTCTTTGTCTTCGTAAACACTCGAACTCATAAAATTTACTTTCTTTTGATATTGTGAATCAGCAAACCATGCGAGCGATAAGAAGGCCTGCAAAGAAATACCAGGAAATGCAGGTTCACAAATTAATGGCATTAACACACTGACAAGAGTTTTCAAGAGTCTTGAAAACAACTACTGAGGGGCAGCAATTCATAAACTGGCAGACAGTGAATCAGATATTATGAAAATCGATATTTGACTGAGTCAACACCTATTTGAAAATGCACTTCTTTCAATTAATTCAGTCTCATATGGATTACTTGCAATGAGTCCCACGTTCGGTTTCTAAGGACAGTTTTTTAATCAATTTTGCTTACAGTTCATTCCATCCTATCCTGCGTTTTCATTCGACTATTGTTTGTTTTCAGGATATTTCGGCTTTCTTGCAGTATCATCCAATCCAGTTTTCTATCCCGTCAGTTCTAATTCGGTCTCAGACTAGACGTAAACTCGCGAAGACCTGACGAACTTCAAAATTGTTCCGCTTTTCTTTGTCATGTACAAACGCCTCATGGTCGTCAAGACAAAGTTTGAATAACAAACCTTAACAGACCTAAGATAAACATGCATATTCTCCATACTGTTTTCTATTAATTTCCTAAAGTGCTGACAAGGAGAATTTGTTTAACAATCAAGAGCTTCTTTGGTTGGTGATCACATCCTTTATTCTCGAGAACTTTTAAAATGTGTCATTCAGAGGTGATATTGAAGGAGAAATTAGGTGCTAGTCATTCTTAGCGGTTAACGAGCTAATATCCATAGTAAAGAAGATAATTTGACACAAACCTCGATCCTAGAAGCTTGATTTCCCCCTATCGTACATTCCATAAGACTAGCGGCCTGAAAAGGGACGACACGAGGGTCAAGAACATCATTACCAAAAAAAGTGGTGACGGCTTTCGTAAAAATTACATTGGTGGGGAAGGGGGTTCCTCATGTTTGCATTCGCCAGGTTTGCTTAACAATTCACCGGATCCATTCATACTCTTCTGGGTTGTGAGAACCACTGTAAAGGTAAAGTGGTATGGCTGCAACTGTTATCCGCCACGGCCTCTTATGCGCGACATGGAATTTTACCTCACATCTCTCAGGAGGCTTCAAGAACAGGCATAAGAAAAGTTCACAAAGTTCGATTTTCAACCAATCAAGGCGACCAATTATGGCGGAACGTTCTCTACTCCTAGATCAAAACGCTCTCATTCTAATGAACACCACTGACCTTTTCTAAGTAATTTTCTATGATGGTGCTTGGATTCTCGGATTTTGACTCCGCCAGCCAGGTACCATAGAGTCCAAGTGTTTGTGGATACAGACTGCATGCCTCCAAGCTCTGGTCTTTTGCCTAAAATGTGAGAAGAGGACAAAAACAGATTCTTCGAATCATTTTTGGTGTGTAAACAAGCGACTACTATCCCTGTCCTATTTAAAAATGGCAGCGAAAAGGGCTCAACATCCGTGTTTTCATATTCCTTATACAATAAATTAAGCATTGAATGTACTTTCAACGTCAATACAGCTGAAACCTTTGTCCAAGAATAAATTACAAAAAAGAAACCGTTCTTGAATCTCAAGCCCACCATACTTTGTCTTGCTCAAATCAAATATTTTGAAAAAGTACCGGAAGTACAGACGACATCCAATTTTCCGTGTGTTTAAAAAATTGAACCTAACAGGGCATAAACGTTAGGTTTCCTTAGTTAAATTAAATTGTATTTTAAATCGTCCACTGAACTCTTACACAACAGTCAATTCGAGTCCTGATTAGAATTCGTACCTTTTCTAGGTGCCTCGTAAGAGATTTCAACAGATACATAGCTGTGTCTTGTTCTCCTCTCGCCCAACGTAATTTCGCTTCTTCCATTTTCCATGACCATCCAACACCAAGGTCCTCCGCTCCAAGTCGACTTTGTAAGTCTGTGATGTCACTTTGCAACTGTCGAATTCGGAACAAAGCCTTCTCGGCCACCTATAGCGATACACAAGGAAAATGTTAAGTTGTGAGATTTTTGCCATAACTCTGACCAATTTGGTGTTTAAAAAATAAATGCTGTTGCCCAATTTGCCCAGTCTGTACTGAAACGGTATTTGCGAGAGTGCACCGGTTTTCCGCTGGACACAGGTTTCATTGGATGCTCATTCTACTATAATTATTCTAACTTAGCCTAATTATCAAAACTAAAAAGTGCAGCGACGAGAATGAAGAAGATCATGTTAGTCGGCTGTGTACACCCCAAATAACCTTGCCTACTTTCTTATCACAGGCTCTGCCGCTTAGCTAAGATCGTCCAGTCAGCCTAATTACGCTAAAATGCTCCATAAAATTCCACTAGGTATTATACAGTACCTGTGGATTGTGGGACCGTCGAGCGAGTCTTGCTTGCATTTCTAAGTGTGTGGCGAGATCCTTGTACGACCGACCCAGGCGCATCAGGCCGCCTGCATCATTTCTTTTGCCATATCTTAGTTTGACAACAGTATGAAGCATTGTGGTTCGGAGAGCAAGCAATGGCTCTAAGAACTCAAAATCATTGTCCGGGAGTGGAAATCGCTCATTCCAGATATCAACCATGTTGTCTTCCGTGCTGAAATCAACAAGAGAAAACTTCTGTTTAAACGAAGTCGTATCAGGTTTGTCCCACATTCATGCCACAGTTGCCTGATTTGATTTTTGTGATAGCAATGACATGGACTGCGGAAATTGAATCTTGAAATGTGTTAAACAATAAGATGCAAAACTAAAACCAATCACGACTTCGTCACTCACATTTTTCCCGCGCTTCAAGCAGCCGGCCTGTTTTTACTTTGGGTTCTCACTGGTTAATGATGATGTCAACCTTTATTCTAATTTGTTGCTGTGATCACTTTGGTTTGTGTTTTAAGAAACTGAAAGGAAACCTGCTCTAAAGCTGACAAACCTGTTCATCATGTTTCCAAAATTCTCCAGTTCGACAATGCACTGCAACCGTGTTAGTGAGGGGTACACACTGCGCACACTCTCTAGACTGACATGCGCGATATCATCCATGAGACGTACCCTAGAAATACATGGAAATGATTTGACCCTTCCTTGGCTTGATGACTGGCTTAAAGACCCTTCTCTATTATAGCGACCGAAATCAAAGTTTTACTCATGGGAAAAAGTTTCCACAGAGTAATAGGACCTCTAGTCCCTTGCGCAGCTATCCTTGAGGATGAATAAAGGGGCGTTATTTCTAAAGAAGCTGTAACGCTGTGTCGATGGGGGAGTATAAAAAGACAATTTTGGTTTTATCAACTAAGTTGATAATGTAAATTGGCCACTGTAAAGAGTTTCAAAGCTGACGTTTCGAGCGTTAGCCCTTCGTCGGCACGCGTTAGCCCTTCGCTCTGACGAAAGGCTAGCGCTTGAAACGTAAGCTTTTCAACTCTTTACAGTGGCCAATTTACACTATCAACTCAGTTGATAAAACCAAATTATCTTTTTCTTTAGGATGTCACGCAACGCTCCCCCAACAGCGTAATGTTACCTAGAATCTCAAAGAACCCCTGAGAATGAGGTTATAGAGCCCAGACCTTCTGATTTTACAGTCCCATACTCAGCAACTGAGTTACAGACAATTTGATGGTGAGCTAAGTTATATAAAGAAACCAGGCTTTCCTAAATCATTCCTGCGCGACATTGTGCATTGCGACAATGCAGTTGCGGGCTCGGGAAAGCGTAACGCAGGGAAATCGTAGTAAAATGAAAGTGAAACAAAAACGAGAACAGCACGATAAACATGCCTATTTCGCTAACGTAAGGTGCTACATTTATCTTAATAAATAATTACTTTGTATTTTCCAGGGTGCACTGGAATAGTTCCCATTCTTCATCTTGTAAGGCACACAAGCAACTGTATAAGGACTGATGAAATCCTTGAGGAGTGTCCGAGCCAACACTAAGAAAACAAAATGTTTTTTCCACAACTCGTTGCAGTAATACCAGCTGTGTCACCGACGTGAATTGGAAAATTGAAAGGGAAAGAGGGAGAGGAAAACCAGGTGAAAATTTAAAGTGGACAGTTGACATCAAGGTTTGTTCAGGGATGTCTGTAGTGGAGTGTAAAGGGAGGAACCATTTTATTTCCTCCCACACCCTTAGCTCCTTTCCCTGTCCACACTTCGTGTGTATTTTGGCAAAGTTTACGGCAGGTAAGAAAAGGACATTTGATCTAGTATTTAAAAAATAACATACCTTGAGCTTGTGTCCAAATCCCATGAGCAGTTCTGCCAAGCAGACTCAAACTGCAACTCCGTAACCTGAGGGAAGAATAGCGCACAGGTGAACGAATAAGCTTGTGAATCCACAGAAGTGCTCATAAATCCAAGAAAAAAATGATACTCTTAATAAATTGTAGAGGTTGAAATGAAAGATGTGGTAAGAAGAAATATAATAATAACAGAAGGAAAAGGATTTATGGAGGTCGAGGTGTAGAGGGAGAATGGGAACGAAGAGGAAGAAGAAGGAGAAAGGAAGAGACTAAAAAAAAGGCAACACATACATCCTCAAGCGAAAATTGCTATGGCCATCCTTTGATACCCTAAGAAACTTCAAGGCAATTTGGAGTACATTAATAATCACCCCCCAAACTGTTACAGGTCAACTGTGCGAAAAATTATTCATACCTCAGGTGTCGTTTGTGGATTTTCCACTGACAGACCTTTCAAATAAATTCTCATAACATGGTCAAGACCAAAGTTCTTCATCGACTGTTAAATGGAAAACAAAAATTATTGAATAGTGGCTACAAATTTCTGAGAAAATAAATGTTAACTGCAGAAACATGACATTCAATGAAGCCATTTTAGCACTAACTTGTAATAACCCAGCCTGTGACAAGTCGGGGATGTTCTGCATTCGAAGGTCGCAAGCACCTTTAAAAAGGAAACAGAGGAAAAAATAGATACAGGAATGTTTAACCGAGAACCATTTGAAAGACTCCTGATTAGATTAAAAGTCAGGTCTGTAAAAACGACAGTCAGGATTTGAGTATCTCGAAAAAAATTATCCTAAATTTTTAAATTTTTAAATTTTTCTTTTTTTATTTTTTGCTTTTGCCATTGAGCATTTACACAACACAATTAACGTATCATGTTCTTCCTACCAAGGGCCTTTTCCCAGGCGTGCTCATGCATGTATGTCCTAACACGGGAGTCAATATCAGCCAGTCTCCCAGCCCCAACGCCATACATGCTGTCCGGTTCATCAATAGCCGCATAAGCCTCAATAATTAGGGTCTGGTAGCTGTTGCTTATGCTTTCATCGCTGCTCTGACTTGTAGAAGTTTCCATCTCCAGATTTTGACTGTTGGTTGGTAGAGAAATAGACACCAAAGAGTCGGGCTTTGATCTGCAAATCAAATCAATTTGATATATCCATCAGTAATTAGCAAAGAAATTTTTGACGGCATTATGGTCAAAGAGTTTGCTAACAAGACTCTTTGTGCCAGCAAGTTCTTTGTTAGTTCTAATTCCCTATGAACCATAATGGCGTAAATCCTTATGTTATGCTCTCTGGGATCAGACAGAGAGGAAGATTCCAATTAAAAAAACTTTGTAATTAAGCGGGCCGTACAGTGAAATACGACCGCTTTATTGACCAATCATGGCACACGTACTAACTGAGGGATATTATGATGTAACAGAGTCACTTTTTCACGCGAAAGTCAAATTTGATCGAGTGACAACGACAGCACAATCGTAACTTGAACACCTATTTTGTACTGTCATTATATTTTGTACATTAAAATCAGTTACTTACTTTTGAATATCAGCCCATATTTCAGTGTAAAGAAGGGCTGTAAAATATGCAGAACACCTCTGAGCTGCTGAGGCAACTTCCAAGTAATCTAAGTCCAGCCAGAAGTTATTGTCCCATAAAGTGCTTTGGCCTCGTTCCTTTTTTGGCAAGTTCTGGGTTCGAAGATACGTAACAACGGCCAGCATTGTGCGAATACTCTCTTTCTTAACTATAAAGTACAAAATTCAGATAATCAATAGTTAAAAAAAAAACCACTTGGAAGTCAGCTGGTCACGAACTTCAACAGATGGGTACTGATAAGAAGATGTTGAGCACAAAGCACAGGATGGAACAAGAAGGTTGGTTCTTGTTTTCCATATTGGAGCGAAGGGCTTCTAAAGACTGAGAAATCACTGAAGGGACGTGGAAGCTGGGCGTCGCATTTCGTGTACGTAGGAACGACAACGATATGGATAAATTGAATGAGATTGTGTGAGACACTGGCGGTAACTTGACGATTAAAGCACTAGACTCCGGAACAAAACATCCAGGTTCAGCGATGCCCGAGGCCATTGCGCTCTGTTCTCTGGCACCTCACTTTCCTCTACACAGAGAAGCGTAAGGAATTTACTTTTTCAAGTAAATAAATCATAAGTTGTCATAAAAATGACATTCAAGTGAAGAGAGGACCCTCGCAGGGGGGCGGCAACTTAAGAAACTTCAGAAAAGAAGCCTGGAAAAAAATTTCAGCTTCGACGGGATTCAAACCCGTGTCTCCCACACTTCAGAGAAGAATTGTAAAAGAAGTGAAGAGAGACGTATCCCAAGGAGTACCAATGAGTACCAGGACAATGAAAGAGGGAGATGATGAATTGCTGGAGGTTACTTGCGATTAACCATTGTCCTGTTTAGAAGGATTTGCGATATTCCACGTTGCTTCACGTTATGGAAACAAAACTGATATATCTCACAGAAGCTATGCAGACTTGTATAAGATGTGCGTGAGATACGTTTCGTTGAAATAAGAAGATGGAGAAGCATCACAATAAAACAAAGAAACACAACAGACACATTGTGGTCATTCATTGCAATATATACTCCTGTCGTGGGATATAATCGTTTGCCTCACGTTGTAGTGTCTTCCAATAGGGATTGCGACGTTTCGACAACATACTTCGAGTCTTCCTCAGCTAATAAAGGAGACTGAGTCCGTGTCACCAAATGAACCATTCTCAGCTGTGATTGGCTGATATGCTGTTGAAACTTTCCGATCCACATCGGAAATATAAACACCACAAAACTTTCCTACACGATTTTCATTTCGAAATACAATCTATTCACTAACAAGAACGTTTATCTCACCTTCGCTTTTGCTTGAGGATGGCTGATTCGGAGGTAACGGAGAGTTGGGTCTGCTTGGGACAACACTTGTTCCATTACAAAAAGTGAAGAAGTTTCTGAACTGTTCCGACAACGTCGTCCTGATGGCATCATCTCCACATTCCAGTGTGTTGTGTATCAAGTAGGGAAAAACGCGTTCAGCAAACTCTACCTGTCAATAAATAAGGGCAGGTAAATAAAGGATCCATTAGCAGTGGAAATAACTAGAGCCAGCCAAAATGTCTAAGGTATCATCAAATTACAGGTGTAAATCTCTTGCGGGATACATTTGCTAAATGCGACCAATGTCCTCGAAAAGTTTGAAGCTGTAAGGTTTATTCCTTTTGTATTTAAAAGTCTACGATTTATAAGGGAAAGTTGTCAAGCTTCAACGCGCTTTCGCCTGTTTGTTTTTTGTTTTTTTATCCTCTTAGTGGATCACAAAGCTCATTAAGTCTGTTCCCTTACGAAATAGTTGCTTCCTGATTGTCCTTTTATTTGAATTTCGAAAGTTATCAGGGATTACCTTGATTTTACTTTGTTTTAATCGCATTTTCGCGCGCTACGGGCAGTTTGGCTCCGTGTGAAAACCAAACCAAATGTCTCCTTAGAGGAGCCCATTTAAAATTATAACTATCAGACCACACGCCTAAAATAAACATGCCAACCAAATTACCTTTACGTCGCAAATGGGGGATAACACAATAAGAACTTCATCTTTGACAAATCCACTTTTGATCAAGGTACAGGCCAGTCTTGTCAGCCACTGTTCATGGCTGTACTCCCGGACTTCACTTCCGGGTGTCCATAACTCTGTAGCTTCAAGACTGCTATTAGATATTTCACAACTTATGTCCATGGCTGAAGACTGCAAGAAGCAATATTGTACAAATTTAAAACCAACTTCACTGCGCGCTTCAACAAGAAGAATTCACCTCTTATTATTTCTTAGCAATGCAATACAAACGAGTAAAAGACAGATGGCAAAACTTAAATTCTTGACGTAATCCGTTCGAGGTTCTTAATCTCTGAAAGTACAACTCGATTCCACGTTGAAACTAAACGTAAACATGCTACCCATTTTTTTCATCAACCAAGAGATTCTATGGAATTTCTTATTAACTGCTGAAAACGTGATACGCGAGCACAGCAATATTAAAAAAACTGCCATCTATTGACAATTAAAGCAACGACTGGAAAAAAGATTCAGTTGTGTATATATATATACAAAAAAAAAAAAGAAAAAGAAATAAGAAAATACTTGCTCTTTTTTTCTTAGATGGTTTGAATGGCTCCAGGTACCACAAAAGCTGTTGTTGCTTAGACTCCTCGAAAGACTTCAAGAGATCGGCACCAGAGGATGTGGAAAGGATTTTCTTTAAACACGAGGCGGCAGCTGTGACGACGCCAACCCTTCAAGATAATTTACGAGAGTGAGCTGCTATTCACTTAAAGGGTTATTGACAAAAGGTCATTAGAATTCTGAGGCGAATGGGTACAACTTGTTCCAAGAACGAGAGTTGGTGTGCAAAGTAGGTATTGTTTTGTAAGTTCGAAATTATTTCCTTTCTAATTCGTTCTGGTTTAAGGTCAAAGAGTGCAATAAAGAAAATCATTCACATTTGTTAGGAGGATCTATTAATCAGAACTTAGTGCAATATGACGAACAAGACGGGAAAAAAATTGTCGTAAGTCAAAAGGATCACTGTACTTTTAGCCTGATGTTGAACATACTCCTTAAAAAACCGAAAACATTCAACTTGAAGTAGAAAGAAGACAGCTGGCCCCAGGTGAGAGAGAGTACTCCAATTTCATTTGTCAGCTTAAGTATGTACTACCATATTTTGGCGAGGAAGAGTACTGAAAACAAACTGTCTTTGTTGGTGTTGTTGGTAAGTAATAATTGTAGTTTATATTATGTATCACTTACTTTTTGTCGATGAGGTATGAGTTTAAGAGTATGACTATAGCAGCATTTCTCTGATTCACAGAATCTCTACATTTGCTAACCACAGACGAAAATGAATCTGAAAGAAAGGAAAAACATTACCATCATTCAAATGCACATATTTTCAGACCATTTATTTTAAGAATAAATCAAAATGCAGCCCAAAGAAAGAGTTAATAACAAGCGGTTTGCTAATGGTTAGCTAATGGTTTGTATAATAGACTATGCATCAAGAGGCCTGGGTTCGAGCTCTAATTGGGTTCGAGGAGTAAGTTTCTGATGAAACTTTGGTGCTGCGTCGGTGGGGAAGTATAACAAGATAATTTTGGTTTTATCACCTGAGTTTAAATTGTTAATTGGCCGCCGTAAAGAGTTTCAAAGCTTACGTTTCGAGCGTAAGCCCTTCGTCAGAAGGAGGAATTCTGGGTTGTGTGTGTTTAAATGCGGAAAATTGAGCTACGCTATTGGTGGGAAGATGGCGACGGAAAACAAGAATAAATTAGTTGAGTAAACAGCGTTCCTTGATACCGTGGGGATTAAGAATTCCTATTTAAAGGGTTCATTTTTGTTCAAGTCTAGCTGTAAGGAGAGGACGCAGACTGCCATGTGCTTCTTAGAATTATTACGGAGATTAACGTGTCTGGCAACTGTTTTGGATGCGTTCTCGCCTTTCCTTTCTATGCCGCAAAGGTGTTCTCGGAATCGGTCACCTAGCCGTCTTCCTGTTTCACTAATGTATATCTTTTTACAATTAGTGCACTGTATGAAAACTGCCAGCATTACCTGTTCTAGTTTTGGACCCCAACGAAACAGTAGAGAGTTCCACAGCTCCAATGTCACCCAAACAATTTGCTACTTCACATAGTACAACTTTAGCCTGATCTTCATCACAGGTTGTCAGTGCAGAGCCCAAACTAATGAGCCCACGAACGAGGTCAGCTACAGGGCTAGCGGTTGACTCTCCACAGGCATCTGGACAAAGCAAATAACTTATTGTGGAACTCATAGGAAAAAGAATTTTTTTTTTTTCAGGATTTCATACCTTAGAGAAAATGCATAAAAAACCTTGGAACAAGGACTCCAACCAATAACAACTAGGCCCACATCAGAGGGAGCGGAGTGCTTTTAACTCGGCACCATTTCTGCTCACCCCTAACCCCCTTCAAAAAATTTTAACTGTAACCTTACTCCTCGGGTAAGAAGCATTGACCACCCTCTGAACAACGGCGACCACAGACAAATTGACGCTGGCAGCCTCCAAATGAACTTGGAATACTAGAGTAACAACACTGTTACCTTCTGTCCTGTTCATAAGCTCCACAAGTTGGTTTTTGTTTTTAACGATTGAATTCCTTAGTAGCCGGAGTCCTTCCAGTCTGCTCACTGGTGATGAACTTGGATCAGCCAGCAAAAAGTGGGCAATTTCCTGTCAAAAATGCAAAGGTAACATACAAGGATTAGTGTGCAAATTTAGCTCGACTATCAGGTTGTATTTTGTTGCAGAACATTTCACTGTTTCATTCTCCATCACCCTTGTTCCTTCTCGGATTACTATTGCCTCTTAAGACTTTCACTCGTAGGAGTGACCACAGCCTTCTTCAAATCAAATGTCATTATCAAAAAATAATCAGTCAGTTTGTAAGTGATATGCGATCCCGCCGTTTCAAAATTTGCAGGTATGATGAGGAGGGAGGATGGGGGGTTCCGGATCCCCCTGACCCTCCCTTGGGGTCTGCTACTGGTCTTTCTTCATCAGCCGGTGAACTGAGATAAAAGATGGCTACATTATCAACACATTTGTAAAGAGGTTGGAACTATCATATATTGTCCTCGCGTACTAAAATACTGATAAGGAATGCCCTTTCTCAGCGGAAGCAGTTATGCCATAATCATAATAAGAACCCGATGATCCTTCCGTACCTCACTCAAAGATGTTCGGCTTTTTCGTATTTGCTGATAGCTTTGGTTGATTCTTTGAAACTTTACTGTATCCGGAAATGGGTCGAGATCGGCTATTGCATCTTCTAACTTCTTACTAGAGTCCACTAGCAAGAAATTAAGTAATTCCAAGGCCTGTAAATAAAAGAACGAATATAGAATACCTAATAACACTTCCCTTCAATTCAAAGAGGAATGTTTTCAAGGAACAATGTTCGGAGTGACTGTGAATGTTGTCCATGCAGTAACAGGAAGTATGGTTTATCTTTTAACAATTCTTTTTTCTAGTGACAGTAAACGATGTTCAGTGACCCTAAATGATATATTATGACGATAAATGATGTCTTGGGAAGGTTGTTGACGTCTATCAATGGGGAAAGATGTCTAATGACATTAATGATATCTAATAACAGTAATCTCATGTCTGGTGACATAAGATAATGTCTAGAGGCGGGAAATGATCTTCAATGACCAGCAAAATAAGGAATACTTAGAAAATATGAACCAGCGATTAAAAGAGAAACAGAATTGAGCAGAAGTAGGCCCGGAAATTGAGCTGAATTGTAATTACGGACACGACATCTTTAAAAGTTACCATAAATGACTATTATCTATTTAAATAGAAACCATCAGATACCTTTTCGGCTCTTTCATCATCGCCCAAGGCATAAGGAGTCAGCGCGCTTGTTATGACATGAAGATGACTTTTAAATTCCTTTGTAAGGTAAACAAAAAAAACTGGCTATATCACTAAAGGAATGATGAATCTTCGAAATTCTCATACCTTTCCAAAGAAGGGAATGTCATTAGGAATAAATAGACAAAATAGTAGGAAAAATAACGAGGTTTTCTACCAAATAAGAGAATTTATTGTGCCAGTTGGACGTATTGAAAATGGTAAGACACTTAAATTGAGCCCGATTAGTCTTTTATTAAGGAGCCGAATGAAACATTCTTCACTCAAAACTAGAGAAGATCAGGCTACGAGACGTGACCTTTTATGGCCTCCGAATGATTAAGAAGATGGTGCGAATTTTCTAGACCAATAATAGAGCGCAGAAAAATAAAACAGAGAAATCCTAGATTACTTTCGATACTCAAAGAAAAATGTGCTAGAGGTGTGGATACCGTTAATGAGTAAAGTGACTTCAGGGCTCCAAGTTCCCTTTTTTAAAAATTTGCCTTTTGGCGACCTCCAGCTGTAAAATGGTCGCCGTAGAGAATAATTTGGTCGCCGAAAAAAAAATCGTTATATCAATGGAAGGATACTTTATGTTGTAACCGGCGTTTACAAGTTTGATAATTCGACCAAACAAAGATAGCTTTTTTGACTTTTTTCCTTCAAATTTGTTCGTCGCCATTTGGTGACTTTCGCCGAAATTTTAGTCGCAAAAATACTTTTTACCCGCCATGGCGACCAAAACGGTTGCAATTAGAATGCTGGGCTATTTGAAAGACCTTTTTTGGGCCCTTTGTCTAACCTGGCTACAACAATCTACGGCAGCTTTGGAAACATGGTACATCAGATTGCAGCATGGCGAAAACAAGTCTTCATCCACCACGAGACAAAGATTTCGTCGTTTCGAACGTGTTCTTACTTGTGTTTCGTCACTGATAATTCGTAGGAGGGAGTAAATCACGTCACGGATGAAGAATGCCCAGGTGTTTCCCAAACCTTCAGGAAGATCTTTTAAAAGGAGGAGAACAAAAAGTCTGTACATGGACAGAACCCTTCTCTGTTCGTGGATAATGTGAGTTCCAGCAATCCGAGAGGTAAGAGACAAGAGAATCTTTTGGATACTATCCTGTTGAAAGAATAATACTGTAGCTATTCAAAGTCAATTTAGAAGTAATCTTCCTTACGGGAAAGTATGACACTGTGACCAAAATGAGAACATAATATCACGCTTGAAAAAATAAAAAAGAAAAAAGAACAACTCTTATATTAACGTTAAAACATAACAAAATTAACCTGTCTGTGGAGGTTTAGAAAATACTGCGTCTCAATTCCATAGTAAACTTCAATAAGCAAAACTATTGAATTTAAATCATTTCCCTCTTGCGTCAGTCCTACATAGAAACTAATTCAATACCTCCCCAAAACCATGAAATCGGTCAACAACACCAGCACACTTCAAAGCACTTACAATAACTCAGGTAGTACGGTTATCACATACCTTGCTGTTACAAAGCACAGACACCAATGACTTTCCTCCAGAGTGACAACGTGTTAGAAAGTCAAACGTGGCCTTGATGGCATGTGACGTGAAGTGAGGAGGATCAGGTTCTGGGTCAGTGTCCCTGTTATCGACAAGTTCAGTAATGTTTATATATCTTTTAGGGAAAAGACATACCTTATTTAATTTAAAATGGTAATAGGACTGAGTAGAGTCCAATTCGGTCTGTAATCATACGAATGATTAACAAAATCGGACGACCGCGGAGCGGGGGCCCGATTTGTTAATCACTAGTATGATTACAGACCAAATTGGGCGACACAAAGTCCTGTTACAATTTCCTCAAATGTGATTGATGCATTTGCTACTTTATTTTTCACTAATCATTCTGAAAAGTTGTAATCGGACAGTGTAATCGGACACCTGTAGCCGGACAGTTGAAGCAGCCAATCATACGGAGTCCACTTAGCTAAATCCACCAATCACAGAATTGATCACAATAACCACTTACCATGAAAAAGAACTGGGAAATTTCTAGAACATAGGAATTTTATACTTTACACATTGTCTCTACCGGAGCTGTTTGTCCTAAATGTATTCGTTGTTTTTCGGAAATTGTAACGGTTGATTAAATGAAAACAGTCACTACACATATGACCCAGTGTGAGGGACGGCAGTGGTGAAAGAAAACCAAACAAAAGCATGAAAATAACCCAATTTATTTGACTTTGATTACTTACCTTGAAAACTGGGATATATCTGAGCCCTCTGAAGTTGGCTCATACATTCTCAACAAAAGGCCCACTATCTGTTCGTCAAACTTCTTCGCCAAAATCTTGTCAAACCTCTTGGAAAGACAGTTTGTATTTATTGTGTTATCGTCGATCTATCATCGTCATCGTTAATATTTGCTCAACATCAAAACAACAACAACAACAACAACAACAGCAGCACAAACGACAAAAACAATTTGACTTTCAACACGAATCTATCAGGAGTCCATACAATGGTACTGATTCTAAAAATTAGATTTCATAAAAGCTATAAACTGTACTCACGTCTTGAGTAAGAATGCTGATGAGGAAGCGTGGCTTTTTGTTGCCTGAGCAACCTGTTTTCCGTTGGAGTCCCTCAAGTCAGATGGGTCTGTTCTGCTTTGTGCAGCAAACCATGGCAACAGGAATGAGGTAATGTCGCAAAAGCTCACTGCAATCACCGCTTGGGTTGACTTGATTTGCAAACAGCGGAATGGACTGATGAACAGTATCAGGTCTCGAGATGAGATTAGCGAGAATAGCTGGATGCTGGTACCTTGGGTTAGAAATGATAATAAATTTTATACAATTGAAAAAGATTTCCTACACATGATCACCGTAATTAGGATATACCACACAGGTGAATCATACTTTTCCTGCGCGCTGATTGGCTGGGTTAGAGGTGATTAACAAGTACCATTCACCTTCGAGCAGCCGAAGAGACAAATCACATGTCAACAATTTAATTTGCGACCTTTTTTTGGTACATTTACGGAATTAAACCATTTTCTCTTATTTTTGTGTGGTATATACCAAAACAATAATTCATCCACGTGTCGGTGAAAGTAGTGAAAACTGCTCCGAGTTGTAATGACTGAGAAGTTAATAAGACGTACTGGAAAAAATCTGCAATTGTCGCGTAGTCCATCATCTGGCAAGGGAAATCAGTGATATTGAAGCCATTATTTAGCCATCTATCTATGATGAATTTCAGATGACTCTCTAAGTAGGCAGCTCTTGTAGAGTAACCCAACTCCAGCGCTAACTGAGTAAGGACCTGGTCGACATAAAACAGTAAATGCAATAAGTCTGTCAAAAGGACGTTTCAAACATAAGAATACATAATCTGTTGACTTCCAAAACGACAATAATTTCATTCTGCAAACAGGCCACAAGTTTTCTAAACACTTAGTCAGCGGGTAAAGGGGACAAGGCGCCCGTATAACTAACGCTATCAATTCTTACGACGAATCATTCGGTAATCAGAGTTATAGACTGCGTTGCTGGCGCTCTGAGGTTTTCCTCTCCACCCCCAAAACTGCAGACCGCCAGCAACGTAGGCTATCAGAGTTGGTGTTTGTCTCACCACAAAGATACACAACAAGAAAGGCCAACGTAACAGAATCCAAGACAAAATGTGCTCTAATGCCTGTCCATAGCCTTACAGTGATTTTATTTAGGGGAGGGGTTAAGGAGAAAACCTCGTACATGTTCCAGCGCTAACTGAGTAACGAGAGGGTATGTCAGTAGAATGAAACAGCTCCTGTTGGGAGTGACTGAAGGAAGAGGCTCATCAGTTATATGCAAACAAAAGGGATGATCAAAAGGTTGCAATGAAATAAGGTTCCATTATGTATGTATGGAATACAAGCTCATTTAGACCGTTGTCAAGCCAATCAGTGAACACAGCCATCCAGCTTACATCTCTCGTTTTAATTATAGTCCTACCTTTTTTACTAAATCCTCGTCCAAATACTGTTCCTTAACTGCTTGGAAGAGAAGTGCAACTGCTCTTTTCTCACAGATCGGGCTTACAAGAGCAATATGCCTTATGCAAGCCAACATAGAGCTTGACCTGTTGACTCCTTCATCTTCACTCTCATCATCACTGAGCGATGGCTAAATTGAATTCGAAAGAAAATCCCTGAGGCTACTATTAATTTTTCAGTGTATCGGGTTAGGTGACCCAACAAAGCACTAAAGAGTTCGGAAGGCCTGGATTGAGGTTGAAGCAAAAGTTAAGCAGTCATGGAGAGCTTGTTGGGTCCAACAAAACACGGCTAGCATGATGGATCGTTTGCTCTTGCGTGCAAAAGATAAACATGATAGAAGAGTGCTGGACTTGTGCGCAAGTTGTTCTTCAAAGGGTGGGTAACACTGCCAATTGGATAAAGCGCTAGCCAGCAAATAGGTGTGAACATAACGTACTGCATTGTCAACCGGATAAAGTTTAACCCAGTGAATACGGGTATCCACCCTTCGAAAAGCCAGGATAGGAACGGTAAAATCCTCTCTTATTTGTCCATAATTTGTCAAGACAAACATTTGCCGGAGTACTTAAAATTCATTCACAGAATCACACAGCCTATCGCCACTCACTTACCACCACTGTGTCAGTTAGTGACCGTACCAGTATCCGCGAAATATGATCAAAACATTTGTACTGGTGATCACGAGGAGCAGGCACAGCACTATTTCCTGAAACGTGTCTTACAAACAACACACTGATCGCAGACGCCATGTGCATTCTCAGCGCATGGCTAGAGTCACCAAGTAGCTTTGGGAATTCCTCGCACAGCGAGAGAGATGAAGAATCCTGTCCAGCTGTAAAAGGGAAGTAACAAAAATTTAAGCTTAAAAGAAAATCCTCATGACAATCTGTTGAGCTCGTTCTTCCAAATGATACCACCATCGCTTACCTTGCTTTAAACCACACCAACTTTCTTCAGGATCTACCTGTTAAAGAAAGCTTGGAATTTAATCACAAACTCTACAGGGACACCGGGCCATGAATGTTTGGTTGCTCCCATCGTAAAAAAAAAAATTGGAACACCAGTGATGATCTCTTATTTCGTTCATAAACAAAGTTTGTTAACTAGGGGAATAGAGGTCCATCTAATTTACACTTCTACCTGGTGAACCATTTGCTTTAACCCTGTCTGTAGCAAAGCGAACACTACCTTACAAGACTTGTGATTACGAGTACTGATGGCCCACAGGAAGCACTGTAAGCAAATTTTGTCTCACGGGTACAATTTTTAAGGGACTCGTAACACACTGGCACGTGTCAATGGTGAATCAAAAGGATCGAGTTGCGTTTCAATTGTACGGTTTATGTGATGTTCCGCACTCTGTAGTACTATCACACCTGTCTTTGTGGCTCAAATCATCTCAATGCAACTTTTAGGAAATAAACATGTTTATCGATACACTGAAAATGTTGGTTTCCATCCACCTCGTTTGATTCATCACTATTGGTCGATTGTGGTCATGATCAACTTTTCCAAAACATTTAATTTGAAGATGCTTTAGATACAACTGTTTAAGCAAAATATTTCAATAAAGTACCTTTAGAAAAGCTTCCATGCACTTAGCAAGCTGAAACCTCACAAACGGTGAATACTGCGTATTCTTCAGGTTCCTACAGAACAATTAAAAAGATGAAAACAAGGTGCCTAACTATAATTCTTTACTACCTTTTTCCCGTGGAAAAATAAAGTAAATTTTTTTTTCCTTTGAAACAAGAAAATGTATGCAAACTGCATTGACGTACAAACAGAATCTTTTCTCATCTTACCAAAACGCATTTAAAATGTGTTTTGAAATCCCCCTGGAATCCTGTAAACTTGTGTCACAGATTTCTCCATTACTTAGATGGCGAGTAAGCTGCCTCAACAGATTAAGTCCCTGACTGCACACATTCTGTTCCTTTCTATATTTGGACATAGCTTTTCTGAAATTTGAGATATAGAGATTATTCCATGGAAAGTGCGCACGAACGTTTTTATTCACGAGTTGCGATGCATCAAAAGAACGAACGAATGAGCGCAGCGAACGAGTGAGTTTTTTGATGCATCACAACAAGTGAATAAAAATTGTCCAAGCACTTTCCATGGTGTGATGTTTTTATTTCATATGTACTGAGATGTTTTCTTTCTGACCGAGAAATTTTTAAGATTGTAGGCAAGCGACTGTGAAAATACATCGTTCGTCCAATCTGAGACACAAACGATAGTACCTCACAGTGTAAATCTCAGCATGTATGAAATAAAAAAGATTATGATAATAAATCAAGTTTATAACAAAAAAGCCACATCCTAATGAACACCACCTCTCACTTAAATGACTAACTTGCATCAAATTAAAGCATCGTGCTCTCTACTGAGTACATGCGCTTGACTTAGATTAAAATAGCTAAATCCCATTCACAGTCGTCTGTTTTAAATAATGGAAGCCGCCTTCCACAAATGAAAAATTATCTAAACACATTTGACTGTGAATGATCGACATAGAAACGTATATCATTCGTCTTCAAATTCTAGTCATGGCCACAAATCAATTTTCGTCCCTTCACCATACCTGAACTTCGGAACAAATACCTGAATACTTCCAAGAGAACTTTCACATGTGGACCCGGTAAGAGACTGCTGCTGGATGCCAAGGCAAAAGCTACACTGAAAAACTGTACAAAACAAAGCAACGTTCAGAAGTAATAGGTGAGCACAAAGAAGACAGGTGGGTAAATTCGTTCACCGGGGTTCGTACCCTATTTCAGAAACAAATTTCAAGGACTTTTCCAAGACTTTCCAAGGACTCCAAATTTCACCTTAAACTGTAAAATCCCACGACTATCCAGGTTATTCAAGAACTGTACAAACCCTATTCACAAGTAAATTGTTGTCAGCTACGCGTGGCGCAAGATGTTTCGAAACCTTTATGAAAATTTCGGATCAATGCACCCCTCCCCTAACCCAACAAAAATCAAGTGATAACAAATTAATTTCGGATCAATGCACCCCTCCCCTAACCCAACAAAAATCAAGTGATAACAAATTAGTATTAGCGTTGGTTTAGGGGAGGAGTAGGAACGTTGTTGCTCAGATATTCACATTTATACGAATTTTCAACTTGTAATGAGGAGAGCTGCGTCATGCAGGTTTAACTGTGGTACACCTGAACACTTACCAGCTTAAGGTCTCCTTCATCTGATACATTTAAGTCCTAATTTGAGAGGAAGAAAATGAAAATATAT